CGACCAATGAACCACTAGCCCCTGTCAGTCATTTTGTCCAGCCAATCATGTACCACGGTCCGGCACGGTGGCTCGTGCATACAGTAGTTGCGTGTGGTACGGGTTTGTACCGTGCATTTTGAATGGGTGCATCTGTATGTCCCTCACTGATGTCACCACAAACCTGCAGGTTCCTTAAAAGTTATGAGACACACTGTTTGCCAGAACTCCAAGAGATCAATAATGCTGGTGGAACTCTGCTTATTGTGCACTTCTAGTTGGGGAATCCCAGTCACAGTTGGCTGGTGACATGACTCAGTCTTGGGTTTAGAATGTCTGGATAATAGAACTCATCCAGCACACAGAATACACCATTGCTAATTGCGCATCTCTGTTTGTCTTGAAGAAAGAAATCTTAAGAATAGACTGTATGTTACCAAGGTCTTAATCAGACCTCTGTTGACTTTTATGCTTGAGCTGAGCGAGGGATTTTTATAACTCTTGAATGCCAGTATAAGAGAGCTGACATTTGTCAGATCTGAAATTAAAACTGAAGCTTCTGTTGAACATACAGTCGCACCTCATTTATGCAGGCAGAAAATCCTAATTAAAGAGAGTGTGATCAGATAAAGAAAAACATCAGCACTTCATCTGAATTTCAGTACATGTATTAAAATGTTAAGCATGTTTGGTTATAATTACAAAATGTCTTTGCAAATGCAAATGTTTCAAACACCATTATCTGGTTAAAAGCCACCATGCAGAATTTAATGAAGTTTAATATGACATTAAAAGAGGAAACTGGTATGCTAAAGTGGGTGGCCACTGATTAAACTGTGTTTGCTGTTAGCTGTGTGTTAAGGGAAAAAAAAAAACAAATCTTAAATTAATTCCTGAGAAATTTAATTTATGAAAGATTAATACATTTTTAACATGATTTTTTCTAACATTACAATACATATTTAAACATAATATTCTATGATGCTACACACTTTATTGAACAGTTGATATCAATTATAACACTGATGTCTTTATTAATAATACATTGATGGTTTAGTGGGGAAATGGTATACAGAAATGAGAACATACTGTACTGCTAAGATAGATTTGTTGACAACTTTAACCATTTCTGTGCCTTTGTTATTTTGTTCATGCTGCATTTTGAGTGTTCTGTGAAATAATTCTGTTATGATAAACTAATTTATGTGATAAAGAACTAAATCTATCTCCATCTTTCCTTTGTGACATGTTGCATAGTTCAAAAGCACTGACAGCTATTCATAAATTATAATCTTGGCAATTTTTTCACAGTTAAGACCAATACAGATGCAGCCATTCAAAACAAGCAGGCGATGCCGCATTATTTTGCGGGCGAGACCGTAAATTCTCATATAGTACCTCATAATACCATGTGGTACCGCAAGTAAAATAATAGTATCCGGAATTTCCGCAAGGTGGAGCTAATAAAGCTCAACCTCTCGTGTTTGAGCTGTCGCCATCAAAGTCTTTAACGAAGATATTACTAATAGTATTAATAATAAATGATCTTGGACAAGCTGTAAACTCAAAGTATTGCCCTGGTACGAGTGAAGTTTTATTTACAGCCAGCACTCCCGCAGAGAGGGGGGTTATACTTGTAGTGCATCGGTATAGATGGGAAAGCCAGAGCTGACCGCTACGCCACCCCCGTGTTATGCTCTTCGTTTATGCCTAAGCTGGAACACATCATTATATCTCATTTTGTATTTCTTTAAAAAAAAATTGTTTGCCCAGCCTAACAGTATTGTTGTTATTGTTTTTATCCTGTAAAGTGCTTTGAGGAGCTACCTTTAAAAGCGCCATATACAATAAAGTTCATTATTATTACTATTGTTAATTTGCTGGACAGAGAGGTGAACATTATTACGCAGAAGACAAAGATAGCGATTTACGTTGCATTGTGCATTGTGCTGCTGTAATATAGTTTTAAATAATGAAAAGTCTAAACAGTATCAGCTTTATTTATGGGTTTTAAAAAAAGGGGATTTAAATGCGATTTAAATCAATATAAATGTTTATATTGTAACGCATAGGTGACTATTCATTGTTATTAAAATGACATAAATTCGATCATGTTGTGATATTTAGAAATATAAATTTGTTTGGTGCGAGTGAAGTTTTATTTCATCTCTGACCCAGGGAAACATTTTATTTTTTCAAATAAACGTTTGTTTAAAAAAAAAGTCATGGCTCCATCTAGATTCAAACACCCAACGTGTGATGTGAGAGTCAGGAACCTAACCCACCGCACCACCAGCACGGTCGTATGAAGAGAGTTGAAAAAGCCCTACAAACATTATCAACAGACATCGTACAGCGTGTACTATTCTTGTGTTGCGGTACATGAATATAACTATATCATTATTCATTTCTTTAGATACGCGATTCCATATTATATTCCCTTATAATCAAATTCTAAAAGTATGCTTGTTGACTCTGGTATCATGTTAGTTAAAGACTTCGATGCTTAAAATGTTTAGGGAGAAATGGAATACTGGTGTGTATGTTTTCTTTAAAGTACCGAGACCAGCCATATACTGTATGTTTATGTTCCAAAATTAATATCGTTTATGGCCTTCACACGTGTTACAGTATGCTCCTATTCTTTTTATGCTCAGCTACTAAGATTTCCCTTCAGTGGTAAAATTCCATATAAATATTCAATACTTAAACGGGCACAGTAAAGACATTTAAATCTTTCTACGACCGACCACGAGTGCCCCTGTCGGTCAACCAATCACATACCGCAGTATTTTGCGACATCGCACGTCCACGATGCGTGAGGCCATAGCCAATTACCTCCGGTACGTGTCTGTGCCGCGCAGTTTGAATGGCTGCATCTGTACCTAGGCAGAGTATTGAACATTTTCCCTCAACAGGTATAGTACACATGACCTGTCTACAAAAAATGCTGTCAGGAGCTACTCTTTTTAAAGGTGGATAAGATTTTATGTGTGTGAAGTTGCTTCAGGCAGGTGAACGTCATATCAACACAATGGACAGACAAAACAGAAATGTATTTTTCACAGAAACAGATTAATTCAGATATTGGACTTGACTCTCTTTAGTTCCTGCTGTTTTCTCCTCTTGACTTACACAGGGTTACTATCTCTGACAGCATCACTCTGACATTCCTTTGAGTTGATTAGTGAACTGTCTGGATCAACAGGGTACTTATCCTTGGATACTGTAAGGAGTGTAGGAGTCAGTGTGTGGTTCAGCAGGGTTGGAGTTATGAAGCTGTCTTGGTGAACATTATTGTTCATAGCACAATGAGCAAATTAGGGGACATATTCTATAGCACAGAGGTGCAAGCTGAGTGAGATCAAGTGAAATATTCTTAGACAGATCAAATTATTATGTTTAATAAAACACATTATAATTTGTGTTTGGGGTTATTATCATGGTGGCAGCGTGGTGATTAAATGGTTAGCATTGCTGCCTCACAGGACAGGGGTCCTGGGTTCATTTCCTGTGGTGTTATCTGAAAGGAGTTTGTTTTCACCTGGTTTTCATGTGGATTTCTTCTGGGTGCTCCAATTTTTATCCCACAGTCCAAATACATACTGGTTGTTTAAATTGTTTCTTGGAAATTTGCCCCTGGTATGAGTACGTGCATGTCTGTGCGTCTGCCCTGCAATGGACTGACATCCCATCCGGGTTGTATCCTGTCTCGAGCCCATTGCTTGCTGGAATAGGCTCCAGCTTTCCCACAACCCTATATTGAATAAAGCAGTTAAAAACAGATGGATAGGTTCTTTGCACTTGTGCATATATTGTTATTTTAACATAGTTTCCCAAGGTATTTATTTATATATAATCTAGATATTTAAACAATTGATCACATTGTTTTACAAGCTTTTTAATATCACCTACTGTAAATGTATTTGAAGTAAGTGTTCAGTTAATTTTCTTTTATTACTTTCATTATTTTATCAAGTATTTTTTTTATTCTACAAAATGATTAATGTTAATATTTCTTTCCTTCCTAGTTTTCTGTCTGTTTATTTAATGTAATTAGTAATGTCCTCTAATTTAATGTAATTTTACGTGACCAAATTAAGAAAACAGATAGAAGTCTTAGAATGAATTTTATTCAGGTATTCTTTTATATTATCTCTGCACTCAGAACATTATAAGGTAAAAAAATAAAGCATTAATCTCAAAAACAAAAAAATAAAGAAAACATTCCCAGAATAACAGTTTTCAAATTACTTAAAAATGTCAATTGAATATTTTCCATAATAGATTTGATTCCAGAATTGTTTTTTTAAGCTTCATTATCAGGCACGTGGTATTATTTTTCTGGAGTGCTTTACATTTTTGGTCTAATCCCACAACAATGGAGCTAAGTAATTCACAGGACTATTCACTTTTCAGAAGCCATGTTTAGTTGTAAAGGTGACAGCACACACCAGTCAGACAAAGGTCCCTCACATTTCTACAGCTAACCAGTAATGTTTCCCTACAGTAGGTTAGCTACGATTCAGTGCTATCTGTACTGACTTAATTACAAGTAAAGGTCAACCACATTGAATAAATATAGACTGTTAATTTAATATTACATCATTAATAATGCTTCAACTAATTATAGTATTTTCAGTTTTATTGTTGTCTGCCTTTTATTTTTTGTTTTGTTATTATTTTTAGATTATTGTACAGCACATTCAGATTTGAGGTATAACATGGAGCATTGTAAATAAAGTATAAAAAATAGAAATGGAAAGGTCAAATACAGTACTTACACACGTGGCAAAGTCAAAAGGTATCGTGTTACTTTTTTCATTACGATTTCAGGAGATTTAGCTCTCTAATTTTGCTTTAACGTGGTAAAACATAAGGACTATACAGTCAACCAACATGTTTATTAAAAGACTCTCCATCTGTGAGTGTGTGAGTGTTTGTGAGTTGTGCTATATCTGGTATAATCTGAAGGATATCTGAAAATGTAATTTGTCTAAAATGATTTCTCTTTCTTACAGAATCTACCTTCAGGCTAGATTTTCCTTTAAAAGCTCTTCTCCCTTTGACATACTTCCATCTTAAAGAACCATCTCCTAGACAACATTGATTTTAGATCTGGCTACCTGGAATCTTCAGAAGACAAGACATGGATTTAAGAAAGATCTCACATCAGTTATGGTAGCCATGTAAAAGGTAAAACTCACTGAAAGCAGATATGCTTTGAAAACAGGTTATCAGTCACCCTCGTGATGGAAAGTGCCCTTAGGCATACAACACACAATGGAAGTTAAAATAAAATGCAATACTCTCTTACTCACCTAAACCTCCTAGATTTTTTTTGTCTTTGATAAAGTGCATTGGTTGAACTGTGTATCCATGCTTTGGGCTGGCATTTAGTATAGTAGTTAGGCCAGAGCATAGAACTCTTAACTTGTTTTGGGTTCATGTCCCTGCTACAGACAATTCTGTTGTACCCTGTAGCATTGTATTGAAGTGGTTCCAATTCACCCACTGTAAATAGGTAGAAGCATTTCTAGACAATACTACATTCAGAGTCTCATCTAATGTGGTCATGTACACAAAAATCTATGGAGACAGAAATCATAATGTTTATAAAATGTAATATTTGCATATTAATAAAAAAGCTATTCAGTACAGATTTATACATGTTACTGGAAACTGTCCTTTTTAATATGCATGTTTAGTATGACGTTTATGACTATTATGACAGTAATATAAAATAACAGTTTCTGAAGCACAGAAATATCTCAAATTTATCTGAATCTGTCAAAAGATGTATCTTACCTGATTACTGTTCCCCGAGGAAAACACAAATGTTATTTTGTTATTCAATACTGAGCTATTGTCTAAATTATCCACATTGACATCATTCCAGAAATTGAAAAAAATAAACAGCTGTTTAGGCCAGAAATCTTTAAAAAAAAAAACTATACTTGACATTTTATTTAATATTCAGGGTCATGAACATGGCTGATATGATCAGATACACTTTACAGCTGCATTGCATCTTTGCATATCTGGAGGGACTTTTTATTTCTATAGTTCTATAAATACAGATTGAAACTTGCTGTGTACCCCCCATACACACCTACAGTATATTGAATCTTGAATTCTATATTTGAGCTATTTACTGTAGATACAGTACGTGAACAGTGCAAAAGTTATCTGAAACAGATGATTTTTGGTATCAATATGAATCTTTTCCTGATAGTGGGGGTTTCGCTTTAGCATATTAATTGCTATGGAATACTTCTGTGATGCACTTATATGAGTGTTGTTGCCGTTACATCACAGTGTGGACCTTGAAAATGCCATGGCTGTGAGACATGCTAAGGAATCCTGTCAATAACCCCAGTTGAAAGCAGGCAAGGCGGAGGATGTGCTGAGCAGACAGGCTTCAGACAGAGGACAGGACAATGCTTAACTATCTGGTGCTGATGAGGTTATGACCCAGTAAGTTGGTGCAGATGGCAGTGACCCCCAAACAGATCATGTTCTCACGGCATCGGGAGGTGTTTGAGTCCATGTGCAAATGCTGCCAGTCGCCATTGTGACCAGGGGCTGTGAGCTTGGGCTCGCCCGGGTGTTACAATTTTTTTTTTTACTATGGTTACATTTATAAAATTCCTGAAATGGATCTATTAATTTTAACTGGCCTTGACTGACAGCGGCCACGGTATAGCTTGCCTTCTCCGTAGTGCTCCAGTAAGGGTGGGCGTGACAGTATTGATCACACAAAGGTATACCTCCCATATGTTAATGCATTCTACACTGACCCAACAC